AGTATTTTTAACTACATAAGAGTTGAAATATTAACTATCCCAGAGTATTTTTAACTACATAAGAGTTGAAATATTAACTATCCCAGAGTATTTTTTTAACTATACACAAGAGTTATTTATAATTAACTAAAAAAGGTGTATTTTATTGTTTTTATTTTTTTAGAAATACCTTGGACATTTAATAAAGAGGCAAGAATTTTTCTGAAACACATTTATTTCAAAACTTGCACCACAACTGAAAAATATTTTTCTAAAACATGTAACAATTTGGAACAATGTACCCTCTCTCACTTTCATTAGAATATTGCTTATCAAAGGGTCTGACATATTTAAGCTGGTCAATGCAAATAACACTGAACTCATTATGCTTTTCTTCAATACAATATGCATGAAAGTGTTCATCAAAGTATACGGTGTTTACAGTACAGCCTAGTATGAATGCATGTTGTTCCTGTATTATGATATAGCAAATTTTCTTAAACACAGGTAGATCACTGGACATTCCAGTACATAAAAACATGCCAACCTGGTATTCAGTGCCATAATTTCGTACCCATTTTGTAGTTGAAACATTTGAGCATGAATCTACATTTAATGGCTCACACAATACATGTCCACCTTCCAAGCTATCAACTCTTCTTAATTTTAAAGGACCAAACTCAAACCTTTTAAAGCAGTAGTTTTCATAGTAGAAAGCCAATTGACGCTGATGTTGCTTTACCAGTGACTTTATAAGATTTTTAAAATTTTTTCCAGACTTTTTAAAAAAATTGTGCTTTGCTTCGAAACGCATACACCATATATAGATAAGAGGGCCAATTTTCTTGATACAGCTTGGATAGTGAATCATTAGGTGGTGTTTAGGAATTAAATTTTTATCAGGGAACAAATTCTTAAACATGTTATGGTGATCACAGATCAGATGTTTCAGGTAACATAGCATACCATCAGTAAGGACTGGGGAGAACACAATGTCAACAATTTGCAACAACAGGAGAACAAGTTTCCAGTGGCTATTGTCACGCTCAACTATGTCTCCAAAAATGAGTGGAGTATTGCGGAGGATACATAATGARTGAATTGCATTCAAACCTAAGTGCTTGCTGTTATCATCTATTTTTAACCCACTTGGTTTATTTTTACGCTCTGCAAAACCATAATTAAAACTATGTATTCTGTCTAGTAATGTGCCAATAGAGATGTAGCCATTTTTGATCATGTATTGAAAAAACAGTTTGAGCTCATACTGTACCACCCCTTCCAACAAATCGTGCATTATATCAACAGCGTAATTGTCAGTGCTGTGGAAATATTCTAATGAATTGAGCACACAAGATCTTTTAACTCCATAAACAGAAGAGAGAGCAGGGTTGTCACTTAAGGCATTGCAGTGTTCAATATGAAGTTCTTTGGAGCGTAGAACAAGCCCAGAATTGTCTTCATTAAAAACAGACTGAATTTCTTCTTTGTTTATTAAACAAAACCTACAACAGTGTGTTGCACTAAATGATTCAACAAAACCTAATAATCCATTTAAAGCAAGATTGTCTCCTGTAACTTGAATAACAGAACCAAACACTGGCTCTTCAGTGAATGGAAGCAGGATTCCTTTGGTTTCTAAAACTTTCAAGTCATCAATCAGAGGCTTTAGTATTTCTTCAAATCCATATTTCTTCAAATCTTCTGTGTAGAAGAGAGCAGCTAGGTGTACATTCATTAGCACAGAGTTAACTTTTGGTGGGAGGTTTTTTAAAGTGAAATAAACACAGCCCAATTTATGGATTCCTTTCTTGGAACCTAATGGGTTAGCGGTTTCAAAATCATCATAATACAGCAAAATCTGTAAAGCATATTTCTTTTGTGAAAACAGAGGATGGTTTTGGAAATATATTCCATCATTAATGTCTTTGTATAAACCTGCATGTCTTTTTTTCTCATGCAAGAAGCATTCTCTAATTTCTTTATTCTTGAAAATTGAGTTAATTGTACCTAAAATGGGTACATACATGAATTTGTCCCTCACAGGTATTTGGCTATAAACACCTGTAGTTCTATGTCTACGTGTGTCCAATCTTACACCAAGTACAAATTCTTTGGGCTCAACTATTTCCCATTTTTCATCATAATATTTCTGTCTTTTTTTCTCAGTGCTAAATTTTGAAAGGGGGTTATCTAGTTGGTTTAAACTGTGTTCAACTCTTTTGTAAATGTCTGATTCCTTATCATCAGGAGAAAATGTTTGTAGTACTACTTCTCTTGCTTGACTCTGAACATCACTGACTACTTCCTCAACAGAAGAAACTATTGTTTGAACAGCACTTTCAGAAAGACCAGAAGCTTGTAAGTGAGCAACTATAGATCCACACATTCCAACAAGCGAGTCCTGTGTGATAACAGTAGGAACTTGTGATATAGGTGCAGAAGTAGATGGTTGATCAGTTAAAAGATCTTCTTGAGAATGTGTGTGCACGATAACTTCCTGTTGTATCCCTACACGTTTATTATGATGACTATGTACATTGTGCAGATGTTTTCTAAAACCATTGTAAGTACAAAAAGATGAAAAACAACCCTGCTCTCCACATCTTAAACGCAAATTTTTGGCTGGATATAAACCATGTTGAAATTTTAAATGTTGACAAAGCGTTGAACAATCTTTGTGGTGCATTTTACAAACGAAGCAAATTAACATTGTCAAACAGGTTTTTTTAAACCCTCCTATGCGCTTTGTGAACCTTGTGACATTTTAATGCTCTCGCAGTACACGTGATCTCAGTTCCTTGACTCGTGGGCTTTCTTTTGTGTTACCAACATCAATGTTGTAGATTGTGGTTTGAACAAAGGTGTAGAAAC